GGAGAAGTTTGGATAACTTGAGTGGAAATAGGAGCCGGGAAACAGTTCAATGGAGGCAACTTTAAACATCATTTGATTACACTCAGCAGCAGAAAGGACATTAGGAAGAACTTCTTCACAGTTCGAGTGGCCAAGGTCTGGAACGGGCTCCCAAGGGAGGTGGTGCTCCCCCCTACCCTGGGGGTCTTCAAGAGGAGGTTAGATAAGCATCTAGCTGGGGTCATCTAGACCCAGCACTCTTTTCTGCCTATGCAGGGGGTCGGACTCGATGATCTATTGAGGTCCCTTCTGACCCTAACATCTATGAATCTATGAAAAGGATAAAGGGAAGAAAGAAGGAAAAATATAAAAATCCCTTCAGGCAAAGGAAAGGAGTGCAGTAACCACAGAGCTGTTTCAGAAAGGAAAGTGGTGTTACCATCACTACCACCACTTCCCTTTCCTCTGGCTGGGGTCTAAAGGGCTGCTGCCACTTTTGGTGTGGAGCCCAGTCAGGTGGATGAGCTCTGAAAACAGCTGAGGCAAAAGAGTGACTAGTTTGTGGACCTTGATGTGGTTTAGGTGAACAACAGGGCTGCCCAGCCCTGTTAAGCCAGTTTCTGGGCGCACACAGAAGCAGAAATGTAGGCACCTGTAAAACTTTAATATCAATAACTGAGGCATCTCTAGACACAATCTTCAGGTGTACAGTTTTGGACTGAGATGCCCAAATTCCACTTTAGATACCTAAAACTCGTTGGGGACCTGACTGCCAGCAGGTATGCAGCTTAGGGACAGAAGGCCTGGAGGTAGCACAACGCACACATTAGGGGCTCACAGGATTTAGCATGCTGGGTGCAAATTTGGTGCTGAGCACTTCTGACAAATTCTTATTGTCTATGGGAATGTGACCATGTCATTGGCTGGGCCCCTTGATATCAATGAGTGCTTTGCTTAAATGGAGCCTGCAGGATGGTTCTCAAAGAAAAGACCTGATTTTCCTCTCTTCCTACTCCGTATTGCTTTTCTTTGTAAAATAGTTACAGTGAACTCCATGATGGAGTAGCAGCACCAGGTATCTGCTGCTGCTGTTAGGAATGGCAGTTCACCCTGGATTTGTGAGTATATTCTCTAGTTCTCCTTACTACTGCGTAGGACAGACATTTGTATGGAAGGAAGGAAGGAAGGAAGAAGGAGATTGCTCACTGCATAATTCATCTCATGCTGTCTGCTTTGAAGCCGCAGACTTTACACATCAGTAACTATTTTACTAGAGCTGGCTTGAGATGTTGCAAGGAGCACTGATCCAAAGGTCAAGGTTTATGTTGTTTCAGAACATCACTATCCTGCCATCCTGTCCTTTCATTGCATTGCTCCTTTTCTTTTATTGAATCTTCTGGAAGGAGAGGTCACTTGGAGAACCTTTGTCCTTTGGGGCTGCTGTCTGGCTCCGTGGCTACGTGTTAACATAATGGGAAGGGAAAATGATCATATTGCACAGCCCATATGATAACTTTTAATTAGTCTGTAATCAGTTTAAGTTGTCTGTAATGCTCACAAAAGAACAGGGGGTTGTGGGACAGGGCCCCATCTGGTTCAAAATAGCATGGTCCCATCAAGCTGATGGAACTACAGGGATTTACACCTGCTAAGGATCTGGCCAACAGGAAAATTATTTGGGACCCAGGATTATAGGGATCTCTTCCAAGCTCTGTCACTTACTCTTGGACATGGACAAGCCAATTTGTGGCTTGGGGTTTTAACCTCTCCCTCCTATAAAGCAGGAATAACAACAAGAATACTTGCCTCACATGGGACTATGGGGTTCAGTTATGGTTTAAGAGCTGTGAGATCTTCAGTGATAAGAGGTTACCCTGGCACGAATGTTCAAAGTCTTGACAGCATCGCTTAGTAATAGTATTTGTAACTGGGAAGTAAAAAGAGGCTATTTATTTGACCTTGCTTGCCAGTATGTGGTTGGAGGATTAGTATTGCAATACCACTTAGAAGCACCATCTGAGATCAAGTCCCTGATGTGTTAGGTGCTGTATACTGTGTAAGAGGCAGTACCTGCTCCAAAGAGCTCAGAAACTGAGTAACAAAGAATTGTTCATTCTTTGCTCAGGTTCACAAATGCGGGATTAAAGCACTGAGAGGTGAAATGATGTTCCCAAAGAGGTTGTAGCAGAGGTGGGACTTAACCCCAGATCTTCAGGAGAGTCCCTTCACCACAAAGCCACCATCTTCCTCTTCCTCCCCTTCATCTAGTCCTCCAAAACCAGGTATAGCTGGGGTCAGCAACATTTTTGGACAGAGTGCCAAAACCACCCGCAACCTTGACTTGTAAGATGTTGGCATGCCAGGGGCTGATAGCAGGGCAGCCACGAAAGGCCCAACCCTTGTAGTGGCAGCTCAGCCCCTGCCCCTTCTCCGAGGTGCGAGTGCCAAGTAAAAGGCCTACGCATGCCGGGGGTTGCTTATCCCTGAGGTATAGCCACCCACTTATCTCTCTGCTTTTTACTTCAGTCCCTTGTCCCAGGATCTAATTGTATGAGTTTATTACCCACTGTAGTCAGCTTTATCTGTACCCAGCCCCAAAATGTTGACATCTTAACCTCTGAGTTTGGGGATGGAGATCAGGTATCCTTGCATCTTGTAAATCCTCCTTTCCCTCATTTGACAAAGCTCTGTTCGGTCACCTCAGAGCTCTTCTTGCAGCTCTCTCAGCTTTTCCTCAGAGCCCTTAAACTACACAGAGCTTATTGCAGGTTCAGGGCCTCTGGATTCTGATCTATCCCACATCATTTTCATGGCAAATGCTATCCTGCCTGTGGTACAGCATCAGTGTGTCATGTAAGATGCCTTCTTGAGAGCAGTGAGGAGCTGAGATGTGTTCGTGTTCCAGGTAATTTTCCATCTGCTTCTCTTGCTCCATCTGGACATTGTCTTCCTCTGCTTCTGTGGGTGGTGTTAGGATGGAAAGTCCCCTCTGGCACTGCCACAGGACACTGGGTATATGCATAGCTGCGTGTACCCAACAGGGCCTGGGCATGAGCTGTCACAGGGATGGACAGCTGTCTTAGCAGCTGGTCCCTCCAGGGGAAGTTTAGAAAAGCTGAACAGCTGCTCTCTCTGGGCATTGAAGGACTCTGCTTTGCTTTTCACTGCAGTTCAACCTGTGCCTCCCCACGCTTTATTTTTAGCTGCTGATGCTGGCAGTTTTCTTTAGGTGCCTTGGTACTACAGGACATATGGTTGAATTATTAAGGGAAGAGGAAGAGCAAAGAGTGCACTGTGGCAGGGGGGGGTGTCTAGATTTTTCTCTCCCAGCCACGTATCTCATCTGGTATACAACCATAGGCCACTTCAGTTTGTCTCAGCTCCTGACTCAGTAACGGCTCCTTTAATTTGCACCATACATCTTCTATTTCCTTTGGTGATGAATCATCTGCTCCATGCAAGTCTGTCTCCAAATGTCTCCCCTGAACCCCCTGTTGGGCTCCAGTCTGCTTAGCCTTCTCCCAGGCTTTCTCTAACTCCTGAGTCAGTCACCCAGACCCTGTATGTTTCTGCATCATTACACTTCATCCTCCTTATTCAGGGTGCAGACACATGACCCTTTATCATTAGTGTGACTTACTTCTGTTTGCAAATCCATGTAAGTCATGCTGGTGTCCATCTGAAGCACACAGATGACCAAGATGGCTATCTGCAGTTGGTGCCATTAGGTGTAGGGAGCTGGCCATAGCCTGCTGCACTGAACAAAGTGTTACCTTGGCATGAAATTGGAGCTGCAGAGACATCACCAGTACACAAGTAGACAAGGTTCTTTGGGTAAATATGATATTTTTTTTAGATAAACTAAATAGTTGGAAAAAAATGTTCTTTGCAGACTTTCGGGCACAAACACCCTTCCTTTTGCCTGAAAGCATTGCAAAAAACAATGTTTCTCTCCCTTTGCCCAAAAGCTTGCAAAGAACAATTTTTCCAACTATTTAGTTGGTCTATTCAAAGATTTCACATTTACCCAAGGAACCTTGTCTGCCTATATCCTTATACCAACACAGCTACAACCAGCACCACCAAAACACAAGTGTAATTTAAACCAATGTAGGTGCTCCTACTTTCCAAGGGGTAACTTTACCCCCAGACTTGCACAAGTGTAGAGCCATACATCATGTGTTTACTCGGTAGTTGCACAAGTGGAAAGCTGGATTACTCCTGCGTTGTGTGCCCACACCCCTGTGGTCTACCCTTAGAAAAGTGTTCTTCCTTAACACAAGATGATGGGCTCTGCTAGGGACTCCTTGTATATCTTTAAAACATTGTATCAATTGAACAAATGTACCCTTTGCTGTTTGCAGGAAAATGTGTTCCTTGGCTACATCATCCCCTTAACTCTGCCCCTTTTTCAGTCCGGCCCCTCACTCACTTTAAAGTGTAGGCACTTGTATTGTGTCCTTACCTGGTGTAGATCATAAGGTAATGATGCTGTACCTGAGGGCCACTTATTCCAAAAGTGGGAGAGAGCCACAACCAATGCTCTGTTTCACTAGGGTAAAGGACTCAGATCCACTCCTCCATCCTGCACATCCTATGGGGCTCCCATAGCCTGCCTGGAAAGCTAGCAATAGGAGCATCTAGGACTCCTCCTCCCTCCTTTGCCTTGCAGCAGACAACCAGCCAGGGAGGTGCAGAGCAGCTGCCCCAGGGAAAGGCGAGCAGCACCCCTGGTTCACACTAGAGCTGGAGGTAACTGAGCAGTGGCTCCACGTGTCTCTTGCCTGCCGCAATGAGGCCAAATGAGACATTTCAGCTTTAAAAATCACAAGGTTTGCATTGTCTGTTCACAGGTAAATACAGGCTGTCTTCTAGCTGTTCTGCAAGAGCCACAATTTAATATCCTCATGGCCACAGGTTGGCCATCACTGGCGTTGGAGATTTGGAACAGGGACAGCACCTCTCTCACACCTGTAAACACTGTATATGTCCATCTAAATGGCAGCTCTCCCTCCCTGCAGGTGAACCTGGTGCTGAACGAAGGGAAATCCCTGGGTCTCATGATCCGAGGGGGAGCAGAATATTCTCTGGGCATTTACATCACTGGCGTGGATAAAGGCTCCGAAGCAGAAAGCACCGGCTTGAAGGTAAGAATGATGCTGGGAATACAGATGATGCTAGGGACTCCCTAGGATTTGGTCATGCATTGACCTGCAGCATGAGTTCCCATTCCTAAGTCATGTGGCCACAGTCACAAGGCTGGTGCACAGGGTCTCTGGTCAGTTAGCTGCAGAAATGCCCCTTCGGCTATGCCATACTCTTAGTGAAGGATATGCATTGTACGTAGAGGCCGATTCTCATGGGTGGGTCCTTAAAACACTTTGACAGTGCTGCCACATGGGGAAGGACTGCAGTGCGCACTGAAGTGTGCTCACCCCCTCTGGAGCAGTCTGGGTCTGTCCATGGGCAGCAGTGCCCTGCACATGGCAGCTTGTCATCAGCGTAACCTTGTTTTCAGTGGTGATGGAAGTCTCTCTGCCAGGAAAGAGGCTGGAGTTGCTCTCAGCCTACACATCAGAGGCTGCAATCAAAGACAGGTGTCCAGAGGGAAAAGTAAGTGTTTAACCAGTCTCCCACCTCCTGCGCTGTCAGCATAGCAAGTTTTCCATTAAAGCAACTGAGCCTGGTGCCCCCCTCCCTCCACCCATGCATCTTTCATGTTATAACTGATGAGAAACCAGTTCTCACTAGTCATTTGGAGCTGGAGCTTTGATCTACTTACCCAAAGTGCTCGCTCAAGGAATCTACATTAGCCACAGCCATGCCAGGAGGCACCAGTGACAGCAGGCCCACCACTCCATCTGCATTAGTTTCCCTCGGCTGCAATGACATTAGCAAGTCAACTCCAGTAGTGATTGGAACCACAGGGGTTAAATTCAAGGCAGACTGATTGTTTCTCCAGGAAGCCTAACTTGATGGGACTTACAGCTACTCCTGCGCCCTTCCCTAACTTGGTGCAACTTAGAGCTACTCCTGGGCCCTTCCCTGTCTCCTCCTATCAGGCAGGTTCTCTTACCCTGAGGATCAACTTCTGCTTGAGCTGTAATGTCTCGTGTTTGGTGCAGTAACAAATCTTCCTCCAGGGTTGTTTCCTGCCTAGCTGAGTCTCCCTGCTGCCCAGAGCTGGGTGCATGGTTGCTGTTGAGAAAGTATCAGGCAACCCTTCCTTCTTCCATCTAAGAGCCCCTCCCGTCTTGTACTCTGTCCTAAGGAAGGTTTGGTAGGGAAGCTGCAGGAGCTTTGCTGCATCTGGAAGACAGGCACTTGGGGCAGATGTGATAAAAGCCTGTCTCAGTCTCAGACAGTGCAATTGCAACGGAGTTGTAAAGGGAAACACTGGACCCTGGGGGATGCCTCCTTCGAGTGTGGCTAGGAACATGTTTAAGAGGCAGGTTTTACACAGTGTAATTTTTTACTCTGTTGTTCAAAATAACCAAGGTGCATTGGCCTTTCTCTAAACAGCTCCTCTACCCAGAATCACACCTCTGAGCTCTTTGCTGTTATTTCAGTGTTTTTGCTGAACAGGGAGTCAGGTTTTTTGGGAGTTAAGTCTCTCAGCCTGTGGTTAAAGCATAGGGATGATGGAAGGCTGAATGCCAAGGAGCTGATGTTGTTCCCTCCAGCCAGACAGTACTGGACTACTGGGCCTCGAGGGACAGTACAGCCTGATCCTACTGCCCCTGGGATGGGCTGATGCACTACTCCCACAGCTGTGCTCTGAGGCCAAAGGCTAATCCCACAACCACGCTCCCTTGGCCCTCTGAAACCACCGTGCTGTAGAGAAAGGATGGACCAACAGTTAGAGCACTAGAACAAGACATTTTGCTTCAGATCCACACCTCACCAAGGTTTTATGGGGATACATGCATGAGAGATGGTGATACACTTGGATATTATGCTAATATGAGCTGTATTAGTACTCCAGAGGGAAGGAGAGCTAATCTTCCCCCAGCTTTTCTACTTGCAGCCAGTCCTATAAACCCTTTGTCCCAGAGCTAAACTCTTTTCATTCTGCTCAGCTTCTTATTCTTGGCCTCTGGGATTTTGGGCTTCTCACCTTGAAACTACATTCCCCATGTGCCCGATCTTTTTAAAACAGACAATTGATGAATTAAAGATGTCCCCAGCAGACGTTTACACAAAGTCATAGCAGTGGGCCGCAGAAATTGGGCTGCTGGACTATTAAGAGGGGGAATGTTATCTTGTTGGTATTAGCCATAGCACAGAGCTGCTTTTTCCTAAAAGAAGCAGAAAACAGAGGCGCTAGGTATGGTTGCCTTCAGCTGTAAAGCAAGTCACTTTTTGATTTGGATGGTTAGTCTACTGAAAGCTAACCTATTTATTCCTGGTGTCTGCTATCCCAGGACTGGGTGTTCTGTCCCCTGCCCTGCCCACAGAAATACCAACAGCCTGAAAGATTAGAGGTAGGAGAAGGAAGCAAACTTACAGTATTTTCCTAAGATTATTTTGTGATCAACGTCTCCATGTTGCTCCAGGCCCCCTTGTCACCCTGGTGCCTCTTCCACTGACTAGAGAAAATTGCTGCTTTTCTTAGTCCAGCCAGACATGCTGATGAGCCCAGCGCCACTGATGGGATGCTGGGGACAAGAGAAAGACATATGGGGAAAAGTAATAGCAGGCACATCAAGAATACAACCTTCTGTTATTGGCCTCTCTCCTTCCTATTACCGTTTATAATATATAGCATCATCTCTGCACTGATTCTCTCATCTCCGTGGCAAAAAAAGGGAGAGAAACAATCACAGAAGCATCTATAAAACTGCACCCACTAATCCTGCAATATTTTCTTCCACCTCTGCCAAGCCAGGATTTAATGGGTGGTGTTGTTTTCTATGCAGGGCTTCATGCAGTAAGCATTGTTTTCACATTGGATCCTCTGCTTATTGATTCTTTACGCCTCCCTCCTTGCTTTGCTGTTTTCCGGTAACTGATTTGTGTGTCAGCAGGCTGAAGCATTTCTAAATACCAGGCCGTGTGTGTGTGTTTTTATATAAATACATATATTTCCCTCCCTGATTTGTGTGCACTGCAGGCCATAAATTTAGAAATACTTGGTGGATGGGGAAAAATGTCCTTTCATTCTTTTTGCTAAATATTAGGATAATGTTCTGCATTCACACACTCCTTGAGCTGATGTTAGCAATGACAGAGAGACCAGATCCTAAGATGTGAAAGAAACTGAAGCTAAGGAGGCTTCCAAGTAGCTTGTTGCACCATGTAAAGGGAAAGATTCTGTATCTGTTTAACAGGGGCTTGCTCCAATGACTACTGACTTCATTTACTTTAATGGGCAATGGATATCGCTTGAGAAGGCTAAGCTGTTTTCTTCAGGGCAGGATGCTTCTATCTGCTCTCAGTTCTATTCCATATGTTGAATGATGATTTCACAAGTAGATAACATAACTCCAGTTCAAGTATTCCCCCAGGGGGCCAACAAATATCAGGCTTTGAAAGAATGCTCTTATGGTTATGAGACTGGATAGGATCTCAGTAGCTAAGGATTTAATTCCCTGCTGTGCCGCAGGCTTCATGTTATCCTGTATAAGTAACATAAAAGCAGACCTTAAAATTGCTTCAGGACAGATAGTCAAGTGCATAATTGGGCTCAGACTTCCCAAATTGCCCAGCATTCAACAATTCTTTGGGCCAGACATTTAAAAAGTTCAGCACCCAACTTGTGAAAACTGAACATCATTTTCTAGAGTTGCCCACTTATAAATGTCTCTTCCTAAATGTATTTTTGTGCCTCAATTCCCATCTAGAACATGGTCATAATACCACTCTCTTCAGAGTTTTTGACTGTCTGGACTGTGAGCTTTTCAGCATCAGTGTGGTGTGTTCCAGTATCTCCAGCACAGGGGAGCTCTGGTCTTGATTAGAGTCTCCAGCCACTGCTCCAATATAAATACCACCGAAGAATAGTAGAGTTGCAATAGTAGAGTTGCTGAACTAAGGCTCAGACATGTTACTGTGAAAGGGTCAAGTATCATATAGTGTGGTATGCTAGCTAGTTTATGGGATTTGTAAATCAAGGTTCCTGGTGCTTATGCCTGGCTTTTCTACTGGCTCCCTGCACAAAATTTTCAAACTTAGTGTATGAAGTTGTTGGCTACAAATGTCCAACTCGGGATCCTTAAAATTCTGGTTTATTAAGTGGATTGAAACACTGTAATGAGTTAAATCATAAACCTTGGGGCTGGTCCCCACACACACACACACATGCACACACATACACACACACACAATAGCAAGCTACAGAGTCAGGTATACCTATCCTACAAGCGCTGGAGTCTGCCGTCGATGGCCAGTTGAGGCTTCTTTCAGCGTGGTGTTATCTTCCAGAAGGGGGTCGCCGGCTGGTCTTTCTGGCTGGACAGGTCTGGTCGAGTTGGAGATTAAGAGGGCGCCACTGAGGGTCACTTTTCACTGCCTTTTATCTGTCCTTGGCAGACTTTGGTGACTCCCCAGTTTTCAGGTTTGCCCAATCCAGGGGTCGTTGACCCTCGTGGGACTTCCCCCCCCTCGGTGGCTAGATCAGTGACGTTTAGAGATTTCCCGGTTGTTACATAGTCTTCTATTGAGTTTTTCCGTTGGTTGATCTGCAGCTTCCCAGGTGTTAATTTCTGTCTGCTGCTACAATGTTACACATTCAATCACTGATTCACTCGCTCTTTCAGGGGCCAGCCTGATACAGGGAAGGACAGTTTGATTCCTGCCCTTGTTAGCATTGTTACAATGTATAACTTACTTATGAAACTAAAACACATTTAGTTGAAAGTTGAAAGGTGAAGAGTAAAAAATATAAGCTATAAATGCCATGGCGCACAAATAGATAAAAATACCAAAATACAAGGGGAGATACAAAATGCACACATACAAATTTTAAAACACAATTCCTTATCTTAAAGTGAAAGAGAGAGGAAGGAAGAAAAGGTAGAAAAAGAGAAACATATCCAAAGAGGGGAGAGCAAATGCAGGCAAGAGGAAAAGGGGGCTTTCTGCTACAAAGTTAGACATCTACAATCATATTTAGATACACAAATATTTTAGGAGTCTAAGCATACCA